TAATAAAAACGTAGGTTGACACAAACAAACACAACACTACCAGTAGTGATACTACTAGTGACACTATTGAATTGAAAACTTTGCACTGAATATAACTTACCTCATGGGGGCGTGCTTCAACTGCAAGACCCACAAGACCTGTAGTCTAGTTGGAAAAAAAATCTTTTAATAGTCATAAGATAAATTTTAAAACAAGTTTAAGAATACACAATGTGTGATGTTTGACATGTTGCCAAAAGTATACATTTTTAATGCCGGGATAGGGAAATTATTGAGTACATAGGATTAATCAATTTAACCAGTGCCATAAGGGAGTGTTCTGTAATTTGGAGACAAAATTCCTCTGTTAGTAATGACTCTGATATTGACATGTTTGCCAAAGCCTTAGGGTGTGAATATTTAATACAATTGCTTTTGTGGCATAAATTGTGGCTTGGAACATGTGAAAATTACTGCACTTGTTTATTAAATCTGATATCACAAAATTGGATACTTTATTTATCACATATACGCATTTTGAACTGTTTCACCAGCAGAAACTATCAGAATCATTATTTGTATGTGTGCCTTCTCAGTTTATTAAGCGTGTCTGTTCTTTTGCATGAAGGAACACTATTTCTTCACACTGAAGAGAAACGAATACTGCACACTGGTGAAATCCTCAAATCAGTGTTCTCCAAGACAGGTTTTAACAAGACGCCATGCCCCGTTATCTGAAATTGGCGCTAAGTTTAAATCCAAGACAACAAATTGTTTACAAACACACATTGTGTTCCTAAGATGACCCCCCCCATGCTACAAATTACAGGTCACAGGAAATTACAAATTGTGCAAAAAATTCCTTTTGACTGCCTCTAAGCATTGAGCTAATGGTACTACAATAACAGATCTATGCTCTGCTTAAGTGAAGACTATTAGTCTGCTAGTCCATTAACTAATTGACAACTAATTAAATATTAGTTTAAACATGTTTAAATTCATTGGGTTCAACATTGGGTCACAATACCGGGTCACATACTCACTAAACACAATTGTCGAAACGAATGTGATGGTATAACTGGTGTAAACGACATTCTCCACGCACTGAACGGTGGCTCGAATCAAAATGCAAAGATTCGCACTGCGTGTTTCGCGGAAATATTTGCAACACACTCGCCAAGACGTCTGTAATTTACTTGTTATTAGTAGTTACCTTTTTCAGAACACCGGCCATCTTGAAATTAATTATTGCAAGGTATTATGGGTAGCAGCAAAACTTTCTCTGGCTCGTTCTAGATAATTTTATTTACTTCTGGTGATCGTTCTAAAGCTGTTCATCATACATATTCTTGAGTGATGTTTTAATTAAATACAGTGGAATTATAGTACACAAATAAAAGTACAGGATAAATTTGCCGCGTTGTAATTCGATATAATGTATTTAAAATAGTGTGTGGAAAGAGGATACATGGCGCCATTTTGAAACAAGTCTTCCGTAGTTTTCCAGGTGGTGTGTATGGGTTTTGCACTGTTTACCTCCATGAGTTTGGGGAGAAACCTATAAGGGGGAACTACATGTATTGTATTAATTTATGATAATTACATGTATTGTTTTTTACGAGTGGCTAACATAGTAAATTGTACATGGTAACAAGAATATTGAGTTACGGTGTATTTTAGTAAAATTTTTGCTCATTATTGCCCTTAAACTTATATAAATTGCCAACTAAATTTATCAAGATTCTCTCAAGTGTCGGCAAATATGTTTTTAGTATTTTAGCTAATTTTGTATTTCAATTTCTAAAATTATTTTAGATTAGTTATTTTATGTTTCTTATATTGGACTTCAATCAAGCATTGTTTTTGTTTACGTTCCAAATAAAATATCCTGTTCTATCCAAAATAAAAGTTGCGTAATTTCCGCCAGCAAGGGACAGGACACAACCGGAAAATGTACAGCAATTTCTTGCTATTTATTTACTTGATTGTTTATTTATTCATTTGGAAATGCGGAGATTTTCTGTGCCCATCTTTTAATTAACCAATATTCGATTATGAAAAGCTATCCATATATCATTATATAAATATTTAAAAAAATTTTGTTTTCAGAAAGTATATATATTGTTGTATTGAAAATAAATGCAGCAACAAAAACAAGTTTTACGATGTTTGGCGTTGGTGCCTTGACTGGTGTAGCAGTAACAATATCAGCATTACAGTTACACTCGTACTGTAGACAAAGACAAAAGAATAAAGAAGCATTAGAGATAGCCAAGAGGATTACAGAAAGTGTGCAAGGTAAGTTGTTTGAACAGGTGAATTATATATGAAATAAGATGGATGAATATACTACAGAATTCACTTGCACATAAAAGTACTTCAGTATTAATTTTTAATTGTTACACATTATATTGATATTTCTTGTTTCAGCTATAGAAAGATAACAGGGAGGTGAAACGCCTTATGAGACTTTATCTGAATATTTGCTGTTGGCGACGCCTACTTGATCACTGAGAATCAATGCACCTGATTTAATACCAGAGAGTTTACAAGACTCAGATGAAAAAATTAATGACAAAGATAGTCAAAATACTTTGAATTTGTTATTCAATATTGCTGAGACACAGTCTGTTCAAAGTAGGTTACTGACATTATTTTATTTATAACAATTTAATAATTTGAATACCAAAGTCAGCTTTCAGAGAATAAACCTTCATATTTTTTTCATATATATGTATATATTTTCAATGACAAATTATGTCCATTTGAAACAAAGTGATGATAGAAAAATGTGCAAAATCTTGAATCTAAACTTTGGTGAGAAAAATTGTCAAGTTTTTGTAATAGCGGATGGGGGGAAGTTTTCCATTTTCTACAAACAGGTTATGTGATCTTGCCAGTTAATTCTTATCATAACATTTTATATTGGTTATTTTGGCAGATGGATATAAACACAGAGGTATCACATGTAATGTTTGTAATTCACAGCCACTATGTGGAGTTAGGTTCAAGGTATGATCACTTTTTTTATTATATATCATTTTTGCTGTAAATGCGTTAATTAATTTGTCACTTGGTTTTAATTTCTCTTTTGTCATTGATATCTGCTGAAACAAGTACCCCCCGTAACAATTTAAAAATACAATTAGGACTCGCTATAACCCTGTTAATATGCACACAATATCAAAATAGTTTAAATTGATTTGTGCAACTGTTTATGAAAGTATGAAAATGTTTTTCTTTCATATTAATAAAAAACAAACTTGTGAATGGTTGGACTTGTAACTTGGAAGCTACTTTCTGAAACTGTATTTTTGTACCATGAACTGTGATTGTCAGGCTTTTATACAAGTTGCAGTTGTTGAAAATCTTTTATTTGATTGCTTTATAAGAATACACTTTCTTTTGTGATATAATAATTACATCTAAATTTCTGAAATCTGTTGTGTGTATATTGTAAATACGGTCATATAAATGAATTGTTTTTGTTTTACAGTGTGCTAACTGCATTGACTATGACGTATGTTATAAATGTGAGCCTTCAGACAACCATAATGGGAATCATACATTTATCAAGATTAAGATACCGATACCACCACTGGCAAATCCAAGATTTTCCTTATTGAGACCAATGTATTCAGGTAATATATTATACCCTCTAGCACCGAAGGTCTGCTGTTATGTACTGAATGGGTAAAAACGATGTTTCGGACATATACATGTAGATTATAATAATAATTGAAAACATCTTAAAGGTACATAAAGATTGATGGTGCACTATAAACAATTATATTCATTTTCAGTATAGTTGTTGTAAACAGCTACCATCAAGTTGCCATTAAATCATTTTTCAAGGGATTATCTTGCTACCATGTCACCGGACATTGATTTTTACATGACTGACTACATATAACAACAGCATGCTATGATTGACATCATCTCTTCTACATTACAGCAACATTTCATCACTTAATTTTATGTATGTTTCCGAGTTTTGATGATGCATACGCAGTTCTCGTCTCGGAGGAAATCAGTCATTTTTGTGTGAGGATATTGTATCCCGGAATTGTATCTTTGTTTGCGCAACGCTTATATGGACAAAATTGTGTCTCGTCAATTTCAAAGGTAAGAAACTGTGCTTGTTATGGTATTTATACACTTTGAATTATCGTTTGTGTCTCTGGTTTGGTGATCGTGAGAAACTATTGCTAACCTGGCGAGAGTTTCGCCAGAAAAACTGCCTTTTTATTATTGTTGTAGGAATTGATTATGTATTGTGTAAATTGTAAGTTTACCTCGTGATTTAAGAGGTTTGCAGTGCTCTCTCCGAGATTCAAACGTTGTGGTGGTGTCGGCGCAATGCTGCTCTGAGACGCTTGCCAGACTCTGCCTCGCTCAAAATCTTTAGCGCCATGCTTGATTTCCGCAACATTTACATTATAATTTCCACAGCTATTGTTCTATGAGATGCGTCCTCAAGTTTAGTTGGGTCGGCATGTACTCATTGAAAGTGTAAGGTTATTTACATAATCCAACGATCACGCCAATGCGAAGTTAAAAATATGTCGCTACTCTGAGGGCTTGCCCAGAATGCTACTTGTCCCAAATAAACGTACCGGTACGTTTATTTTTTTCCCCGAAAAATTCCACCCGGTACATTCTTATTTGGGAAGGTACGTTTATTCATTTTTCTAAATCGGGCAGATTAAAAAAAAAATCATGCCTTTTTTCCCATGAAAAACGAAGCCAAAAGATCGCACTAAAACATCGGTAAATATCTTCCGTGTTGCTTTCACCATGAGGTCGTTGAACTGTCATTAACATATTTAAATGTTTATGGTAATTTGAGCTCATGGGCACCATCCAGCATATTTTGATTGGTTGATTAGCGACACACCTCGTCAGCATGGATAACATGGCGGATATCGTATAGCATGGAGCGTTAGCATGTAATCGAAATCATTTGCTTACGATAAAACTAAGTTGAATTTTACTTGCATTTCATAACAATTCAACGAATTTATTTTTTGTACGTTAATATAATCA